ATTTTTGTTGAGTACCAACCTCCTTAATATACAACTCATTGGAGAGAAACTATGATACCACTGAATGAATTAAGAGCCTCACCCAACAAGAACAAGAGCCGAGCTTGTACATGTACATGTATGTACAGTGTAGCTAGAGCTCTTCGAAAGGCATTACACATACTGATCTTTAAACCTTTTGTTAAGCAGCAAAGAATCATCAGAATCACTGCCACGGCTTGTAATGAATGTCTATGGTAAACAGCAATTGAAATACTTAATCACCCATTCGAACACTCATTGAAACCCATTTCAAATGGCTTGGTGACCCATTTGTAACCCATTTGATAGCCGTTCGTTTCACTCATGTAACGGAGAGTTGTTAAAGCACGTTTTTGCGTGAAAGGTCACATATTTATTGTTCCTTGAACTTTACGTCATCATTTTCTCACCTTTGTTACCAGATTCATATTTGCAATCCATGGCATAGAAAGCCTGGGTTCATATGTTGCTGACAAACTTGAAAGAAAAGGTGTGACCAAATCTTGACAGCAAGATAACACAGTGATGACCAGTTCTTGGATGAGTACATCTGTTGTTACTGAAGTTAAGCTTTGAAGGAACTTCAATAACACTGGGTTATTACTCCTGACAAAACAAAAATTACAATTAATCACACATCTACATGTACATGTACATATTACTTTACACATCTACATACATGTGCATTTAATATATAAATCTACTAGTATTGTATCATGATTATCTCTTATTGGCTATTCTTTTCACTATCTATTCTATTGTAGATAGTGTGTAGAGCTCTACATGAAAGCAGTGTGCAGTTGTTAACAAGATTGCAGTCAATTTTTTTGCATCTGCAAAATGTCTGTGAAGAGGGTTTAGATGCAGTTTTAAACAACTAGTAGAGTTATACTAATAAGAACAATTTGATTAATCATTATTTGCTCTACATTTCTGTGTTATTCTAGTTGACTTGGGCTGCGCCCTTGTCATCTACATGTATCACACGTTGGTATAAATCCACTAGCGTTCTATCACAAATGCCGTTCCCTGATTGGCTACGCAACACACTTCCTATTCTGTGATAGACAGTGAGTAGCATAGCAGTGTGCAGTTGTTACCAAAATGACGGCTGCTTCTTTGCATTTTCGAATTGTCTGTGAAAAGGATCTGAATAAAGTTTTGACAACAAGTAGATTATACTAAAATAATTAGATTCGCTCTCAATTTCTATGTGTGATAGTTGACTAGGTCTGCGCCCACATCAACTATCGCATGATGGAAATCTCAAGCTCATAATTTAATTGTTTGATAGAGATTTAGAGCTTATGATCTAATTGTTAAGATAACATTCTTATTAATTAGGAATTACAGCCATATTGTATTGTGCAGGACAGGTATGCCTAATGTCATACAGGTGAATTTTTGCCTATACCTGACACAGGTACCTCAGACTCACGATAAGAGAATTCAAAATCACTCCATACAAATGAAAAGACTGTACCTGGTAGCAAATGCTCCAGTAGTATTGGAGAAACAAATTCCAAGTTTGAGTGACCCACAGATCTTCAATAGCAGTTCATGGACGTTGTGACGCACTGTTTTATCAGATTGTTCCTTGTTGTTGTTCTCCTCCTTGGCATCCTTAGCATACTGATAAAGATTAGCCAGTTGTGAAAGGACATATGAGTTGAAGAACTGCACTTTGGTTTTCTTTGTTATCCCAGAGTTTTGTACCACCTAAAAGAAAATGCAGAATTTGTAGTTGATTTTCAGCATAACAATTAAAACACTGGTAATAGCATTGTTTTACATTAGACTTTCAGGTTTGTCAAAAATCACCATCTCCTTCATATACATCTTGTAGGTCAAAATGAAAATCAGGTTAAAATGAAATTCCTTTGTCTCTTAACCCTAATTATTCGTGGCTTATGAAGAATTAGGGTTAGAAGACAAAGGAAATTGAGAATCAAACTAGATTAAAATCATTTTAACCTGAATTTCATTTTGACCTACAACATACATGTACGCTGTAGCCTTGGTCAGCTATGCTGCGGGACAGTATGCATATTTGCTAAAACAACATTATGTTACCCACCTACAAAAAACCCAGTTTAAAAACCCTTCCCTAGCTAAGAGCAAGTTGTTATTTTACTTACTCGTCCTTGAAGGGTTGACAACACAGTGTTAACTACATCTGGTGCATCAAACTGAAGACCTTTCATTATTGACTGAAGGAATCCTAGGGTCAGAAAAGGTGTCGGGAAATGATTAAAACTCCACTGACAGACATTAAGTAACTTACTAAAGGTACATCTAATCTTTCCACACTAACAGATCTCCTGAGGTACCTACAGTACCATTAATTGTTTGATAAAAGACCTCAGAGTGAGTGCCAAGTACATGTACCATTGTTGATCTGTTCTTACTATTGAAGCTCTGTTTTTAGTAGACCATAATTAACTGACTAATTAAGTAACTGTAAGTTAGGCTTAAAACAGCTCACACCGTTTTTCCAGCTGGGTGTGTACAATAATATAGATCTTCCTTAGATGCCACATCCACAGTAAAGGGGATTGTGGAAGTCACCTACAGTCCCTACAAGAGTCTTTTTTTGTATATTACTTAATACAAAAGCTTGTTTATGACAGCTTGCAAGTGTCTCCAAAACAAATTGAAGTAACTAATTTAGGCGAACATCAATTTGCAAAGGTGACAAATTTGATTGTTTTAAGTGGTACACATTTAATGGCCAAAATAAACATCATTGCTGTGGTGTTGTACATGCATTGAGTGGAGTATGTTGTAGACACATGGCTTCTATTAGAATGAATGTTCTACAAGGGTATTTTCAGAGGCCTATTATTGTTGAATAAATTTACATTCACATGATTTTCCATCTCCACTCATTAAAACAGCCTATACATGTATCTATGTTGCACACTACTTTTATCACGCAAAAACAACTACTAAACTACATTAACAAAACCTTTCTCCTCGACTGTCATTTCTTACTATCTTGTTTTTCCTCGTGAGATCCTTTTTCTTAATCCCATAATAATCACTTGGGCTAGTCCCAGTTACTCTCATCTTTTTAGTTAGTCCCAGTTACTCTCGTCATGCTTGCTACATCTATACAGTGAATGCAAACTACCTTTCAGTTCTAAAATCCACTTCATAACAGCCAAGTCACCAAACATCAAGAATGAGAGACATAAGTATATGAAACAAGTCCTGACATCTTGCACTGACTGAGTAACAAAACATTCAAGGTAACAATCATAAATTTCTCAGAAATAAGACACTTTCTACATTTTAATGTTTTCATGTACACTGTACAAGCATGCAAGTGACCAGTCAGAGCTTGACACAAATAGTGGAAATGGGTTTTAGCGAGCCAATCAGCCATGGAAATACTGGTCTGTGCTATGTGCTGTGTGTATATGTGGTGGTTCAATTTTAACCTTCATGCAATTTTATATTACATAATAAAATGAAGAAAATTACCAGATTGAACCAAGGGTAAAATTGAACCCAAAAGGCAAGTATTACATGTGAACATTTTATGCAAGCATTCTCATTTCCACTGAAAGAGTGCGTGGGCATGATCATCATTGTCATCATCATTATCATAACCAAAATTACTTATCAAAATATAAATATGCTATCTTGCTGTATAAGGAAGTACAGATACATGCAATGAAATATTCTTATAGTCTTTCCCCACCTCTCTCTTTCCTATGACCTCTAAAACATTTAAGTACTGAGTAAATACAGAATTGATATATACTGCACCTTGCTGTCACGTTTGTTTGGTAGTGAGGAGAGGGACTTAAGGGTAAAGTCAAATGACCGTTGAACTTCCCTCGCAGCCGAGGACCCCTGTGTAACCATGGCTGTGAGGAGTTTCAAAGCAGACTTTATAACTTCAGGGGGATTTGCTGGGTTCAAACATGAATAAAGTAGACTTAAGTGACTTTGCAGGACTCGTTGTACTATTGACATCCCTGTTCTTGAGGAGAGATGGCTTTCTGCTGCAGTGAACAACAAAATACTTTCCAAGATCTCCAGGCATGTTTGGATCTATAACAAGAAAGACATAGTCGTCAAATGTCATATGGTGGTGTTTTAGCACTGTCAGAGTCTGAGGAAGCTTGTAAGAATAATAAAAACAAAAGGCAATGTAGCATCATAGCAACAGTTTATGCACTTCACTGGACATAACATGAAAAATAAAAGTTACACGTGTACTTGTATATCAACTCTACCTCAAGCTGAGAAAGATTGTGTCGGCCTCCTTCTAAAATTTTGAAAATCTCCTGAAACTCTGCTCCCTCCTTGACGATGCTTTCCACTGATTCCTTATTTTGCGATCCATTTAGTGCATTCAAAAGTTTTTTCAAACCTTACAAAAACAAGCAGAAAAATCAAAGCAAACAACATGCTAATTGATATAAGCTTCTTATCGTACATAATGACATTCTCCAGTACTATAAGATTACGAATCTTTTTACATCTGTTAATTCAGCCTTTGTAGAATGAACAAAAACGGTATTATTATGGAAAACAACAAGTTAAAAGTGATATTTCTTTCCTAATTTAAACATACCCGCAAGTCTTGTCTGTTCTCTCTGTAACAACCCCTTCGCCGTGCGCAAAAACTCACTCGGTTTGTTGTTGTTTTGCCTCTCGTCTACAAGACTAGAAGCCTTTCTCTTCCTTTGCGGCATTCCGTCTTCGTCTGCATCTCCACCTTTTCTTTTCTTCATGCTTCTTTTTACATTTGAAATCTTCCCTACAAACGTTTACACTGTACTGTAACGTGTGTGTAGAGTTTCGAGGACGCCGCCATATTGTCTACTTGCACGTGTTTCAACGAGTACTTTATATAGCTGGTATTGTAATGTCACAAATCCTCGCGTGACTCCGTAGCGTGACAGATGTGCTCCAAAGCAACGGTTTTCCCCGACTGAGGAAACATTTTCTTTGCAAAAACTGTCAAGTTTGGGGCCACAAATTTTTTCATGAGTTTGCAACGGATTCTTATGAAACTTCGCATACTTACAAAATTTGGCATGATAAATCGAGCCATGAGGCTTACTTTTTGTTTGAAAGAAAAAAATATTTAGATGAGTGTGACATCGGTAACTTACTTGTTTTATTTTGTCCAGCCTGTGACCTGTGATCTGACCTGTGACACGTACTTTTAATTAGCCCTTTCCGCTTATCCTAACAGTTATATTTGCAAATCTAGTCGCTGACTAATTTAATTTTGTCAAATATAAGTTTTAGATATTATATGGGCCAAAAATTTGTAAACATGCTGATTTTTTCTGTTTATAATATTTACAGTCACTCAAGATAAGTACAGATGGCAAAACATTTGTTTTCTGATGTGCTTTATTTTTTTGAAGTTTCCTAAAGTTGAATAAATAATACATAACAAATTCTTTATAATTTCAGCTATATATACCAGTTATCAAAAATGCATGTATAATGTAAGTGTGAATTAGGACACAAAGTAATTACAATGTTTTGCTTTGTTTTGAAAAAACGTTGTATTACTTAGCCTGCGTCGCAGACAGTCTAAACCACCAGTATAGGGTTGGTGGACAGACCATACCGGGGATTTTGTGACACGTCTGTGTGCAGCCACCACAGGCTACATATTACTAGACTTACTAGGATCAAACATCAAGTAAGGGAAAAAATTAAAAATGGTAAATGTCAACTTGTGATCATATTGTCAGAAGTAAATGTACTCAGTTTGCAACAAGTAATACGACAAAGAAAAAAATGTTAAATCCTCAACAAGTCAAAACAATGATCTTCCACAAATTGTATATTCTGTTTGGTTTTAATCAAAAAATTTTAGATTTTGTTTCTGAAGGCAAATTCCAGGAATTTTATGAGTCCCATTCTAACTGGTAAATATAATTTATATACATGATGCTTGATTTCTAAGCTTGAAAAACATGGAGATAATAAATATTGGGGGCAGGGGATGAATTCTTGTCAATGGGGTATTTTCAATAGCATGATATAAAAGTAAAAGTTTTGTGCTCAAGTCCAATTTTTGCCCCCACCCAGCCCCCATCAATCTAACCCTGTGTCAACTGTATATAAAGTGATTTTTTTTTTCAATTCTAAATTTGAGTATGAATGTATTAACATACCTTGAGGATTGTGAAAAATCAAAATCAATTTTATTATATCTAAAGTTCAAAATGATTTAATTTCTAAGAAGCTTTGTGACTATATGAGCCATCGGAATGTTGAATGCTTAATTGATCGAACACCACACTCATTCCCTCTTTAGTAGGAGAACAACAGTACAGTCCAATCTTCACTGCGTTCCCTCTGGAGTCCAGATGACAAATTCGAACAAATTTCCATTCATCAGAGCTTCCGTTTGGTAATTTACTCTCAATCTATTACAGAAAGGAAAAATGTTTGATAATTTTCCAGTGCACACAGGATTTAATTGTGAAAATCAGTGGAGACTAAGCCTGGTCAATAAATGACATAGGAATCTAAATAA